TCAGTATCGGTCGTTCTACGTAGCTGACATGGATAATTTGAAATATTTTTTTTTAACTTTTTTCCTTTCGTTTCCTTTTGTTTCCTTTTCCTTTTCATTTTCTTTTTCTTTTTCTTTTTTTCCTTATTTCCCTCCGTCAGTCAACGGCCACAGGTGAGGATTGCCCTTGCCGACCTCTGGCGAGCGTTGGCCTTGTCGAATTCACCAATGGCGACCCTCTGCAACCCTCACCTATGGTCGATGACCTTTGCCAGCCATTGTCGAGGCCCTTGCGACTGGTAGAGGGAATCAGAAAAAAAAAAAGAAAAAGAAAAATTTAAAGGAAAGGAAAGGAAAGGAAAGAAAAGGAAAAAAGAAAAACAAATTCAGAATTTTTTTTAAAAAAATTACAAAAATCATCCACATCAGCGTTAGCTATACCATATAGGACAGTGACGGTCGAAGTTCATGTCAGTGATTTGGGGTAAATGTGTCAGATGGGTACAAGTTTGAGATTTTTTGTATTACAAAAAATAGTTTAGGGTGAATGATTGATGCTTATATTCTAGCACTCTTCATATATTTGTAATTTTTTCTTTAGAACGCACAAACGGACACAAACACAGAAGTCTAACTATCTGAAGGCCTACAAATTACATCGCAAGTCTCATGAATCGGTCAAGTTTAAGCTTTTAGCCTATCCAAGTGGCTACTTAAGTTCTCATGTGTGTTAGTATGGTTAACTTTATTTAGAACAGTAAATTGTTCATAAACCTCATGAAATTTTAGAACTAAACTGAAATTAATTTTGGAAGTTTTTTACTGGTGAAGAAGTATCTCAAATTGCATAACCAATTAGACTTCTATGTTGTGTTGGTCTGATAGTCTGATCCGTCTACTTAGTACTTATATCCCGTGTCGTCTTCTATTATCAATTCAATCGGTTATTGTTATGTGATTGCCCAAGTGATAGAAAGGCAATAGCGGCGTCATTATAAGTGCAAGCTACTAGATTTATGGACATTTTTGCCTTTTTCTCGTTACGATGGGTTTAACTAAGTTGAGTCGTGATTTAGTCTTTGGATTAAAAGAGCTATGGCTTTTGATATTCAATTCCTGTTCTACATAAGGAAAAAAAGTTCTTTGTGATGTCAAAGTCTTACCACTAAATTTTCGGCGAATTTGTCATTTCAAACTGTTTCCGAGCTCCATGAGGTTGTTTAGGTTCTATTAACTTCTTTGCACTTTGAGTTTGCCTCCACTCGGGGTCGACGACGGTCGTGGACCGTGAAAAGCACACCAACGGGTGGCGTTGAACCCAACAGACCACAGATTGGGGCTAACCGGAGGCACTAGACTCGGGATTGGCCTCGATTCAAGGTCGATCGAGCCCCAGATACGAATCTAAAGCCCGTATCAAGTGTGGATTGCTCGAGCTCACTACTGCTGCTGAGGACAATGGCGTGGAAGGAGCCGATCAAAGAGGATCGCGACGACGGAGTATGAGAAGAGAGGGTGCACAACAGGTAAGTCAGACGGGAGTAGGATGGAGAAAGGGGGACGGCAACGGCACAAGCTGAGGTGTGGTCGAGGATCGGTGGGATGGAGAAAGTAAATGGTTACTAAAGGTGAGAACAATATCATCCCTATGACTTTTCGTTGCACACAATATTAATCAAACGTGGGCACATGTATCATGCCACTGGTTGAGGATCGGTGGGATGGAGACAGTAAATGGTTACTAAAGGTGAGAACAATATCATCCCTATGACTTTCCGTTGCACACAATACAATCAAATGTGGGCACATGCATCATGCCACTGGTCGAGGATTGGTGGAATGAAGATAGTAAATGGTTACTAAAGGTGAGAACAATATCATCTCTATGACTTTTTGTTGCACACAATATTAATCGAACATGGGCACATGTATCATGCCACTAAGCAACGAGGGCTCACTCTCTCTCACAGACACACTCTCTTTTTAAGTATTTAAATAGGTAAAGTAATTAGCTGACTGCAAAGCATATAGGTATAGTGTATGTCGATCCCTCCTATAAGTTATTAGATTCAATGGATCATATGCACATGCAATGCGCCTGTCGGGTTTTGCAAAATCCTACCTCAAGTCCCGAGAACCGAGATTACTCCACATAATGCTGGTGTATCCGCCCCATTTAAAAGTGTAATCATGCACTCGGACTAACACCCGTAAGTTAACAGCTAAGGCTCCGTTTGTTTCGCGAAAAAATGTGACGTTTTTAGAATTTTTTTTTAGAAAGTCACAATATTTTCTGGTGTTTGGCTGAAACTCGAAAATGAACTAGAAAATGTTTTCCGCCATTTGGTAGGGAAAATATAAAAATTACCAAAAAATTTGGAGTTTCAATTAATTAATTATTTTTTTTCTTTCCTTTTCTTTTTCCTTCTTTCTCGGGCGAGCTCGTCCCTCGCCTGTGGTTGATCGTCGGTGGTCACCGTGGCCGGCCACTAATCAAGGGAGAAGGAAAAGGAAAAAGAGAAAGAGAAATAAAAAAAATAAAAAAAAATAGAATTTTAAAGAATAATTAAAAATATGAATTTTTGTTTAAATATTTTTAATAAGAACGAAAATTTAATTAATCAAGGACATGAGTCTGAACACGGAGGACCTGCGCATGGCCTTTGTGGACCAGAGCTTGAGCTTCGGAGACCCAAACAAAGCCTTTATGGGCCCAGGGTCGGGTGTTGGGGATTCGAGCACGGGCACCGGGGGTTTAGGCCCAGCCTCGATGGACCCGAACGTGGGCTCTAGGGGCTTGAGCTCGGCCTCGATGCACCCAAGCCTGGCCGTCGGAGACTTGGTCCTAAGCGCTAGGACTCGGGAACCAAAGTTAGGGCTTTCGTGCTCAAGCGTAGAGTTTCGTGTCCAAGCGCCGATACTTAGCCATATTTTGGAAAATGTTTTCCGGCTTTTCAAAAGAAAAAATTATTTTCCTGAATTTTAGCATAGGTTTTTCATTGACTAGGAAAATTCCTTTGGCTTATTTTCCTAAGCGAATCAAATGCCTGAAAAAGTTTTTCGTGAAATAAACGAAGCCTAAATATGCCCATGATCTCACACTTTGCTTGCAATTCTCTCTTGAAAATGTTGGTGTGCTTTCGGTCTTCCACACATACCTGGTCGCTGACTTTGTTTCTTTCTTTTGTTTCTTCTCTTTCGACTCCAACACACACGAGGGCACCCAATTTTTACTCTAACTTGCACATCCAATATCGTTACATGCATGTGTCACAAACCGTGATTCTCTCGTACTCCTGTACCCTTATGAGTGGTGCTCAAGGTTATCGAGTGAAGAATGAGGACGTAGAAGGGATGAAATGCAACTGGGTCGTGGGAGTGGTATCAAGACAGTGGGTGCTAGGAGTTCTAGGATGGAACAAATATACCTTAGGAGCTCTGAAGGTAGGGTTGGCCTCCCATGCACAAGCTGGTCAGGAGCTGATGCCACTCTCCTGATAAGGCCATGGCAGGCCGAAATCAGTTTTCGTATTGAAAGTATTTTGTGTGTCTCGCTCGATGGATTAGACGCCTATGCCAAGCTGGGCGTGATACGATCCGATACAATGAAGGTATTCACCACATTGTTCTCTAGAATAGCTAGTGAACGAGGGCTGACCTGGTGTGAATGACACGCCAGGCGCCACACGGGCTATTCTGCGGCTCGGATCTGCCGGCATGTGACATATGACACTAGAGCGGGATCCCCCCAGTAGGTGAGTAAGTCGAAGAAAACCTGTGGTCTACCCGGTCCTACGAGGGCGGAGAGTGAATCGCAAGAGCCAAAAGATGCTCGGACAAAGTGCGGCTCTTGACCAGCTTCTAGGATGACAATGGGAGCACAGAAAAGAATTGATTCCTCACTGAATAGGGAAACCGTTCCTGGATCAATTTGGCGAGTCTCAAGATGGGTCTACTACCACGTTATCAACAAGGAGAAAAACCTTCCGACCAAAAAAAAAACAAGGAGAAAAACCTCCATTGGTCTGCCGAGATCATGAGAATTCTGAAGTAGGTGATGAATGGTGCAGTTGGCGAAAAATGCCACACTTGTCAGGGAAAGCACAAGTGACCGAAGGTGCCAAACAGTTCTGATCGAGAAAGCTACCAGTGGAGAGAAGTTTTTTTGTTGGGCGAGCGTCCATCACTCATGTAAGTCCTGAAAAAGCGGCATTGATGGTGAGAATTGACGCAGGGAAGCGACATAACGGTCTGCAACGAGGGCGTTGCAGAATTGAGTGGGGGAGAATGTTACGAATCGTGATTTTCTCATACTCCTGTACCCCTGTAAGTGGTTCTCGGGGTTATTGGGTAAAGAATGAGGACGCTAAAGGGGTGAAATGCAACTTGGTCATGAGAGTAGTGTTAGGTCGATTGGTGCTAGGAATTCTAGGATGGAACAAATATACCTTACGAGCTTTGAAGGCAGGATTGGTCTCCCGTGTACAAACTGGTCAGGAGCTGGTACTGTTCTTCTTATGAGGCCATGGCAAGCCGAAACCAGTTGTCGTACCAAAAGTATTATGTGTGTCTCGCTCGATAGACAAGACGCACGTGCCAAGATGGGCATGGTACGATCCGATACAAGGAAGGTATTTGCCGTATTGTTTTCTAGAATAGCTAGTGAACGAGGGCTGGCCTGGTGTGAACGACGCGCTAGGTGCTGCACAGGCTATTCTGCAGCCAAGGATCTGCTAGCCCGTGACACATGCAGGGGTGTCTTGTTCTTTCTCATCCCTTCTTTCTCGTGAGAGCTTTAACTTCTCTTGCTTGTTCCCACCATCGAAAATTTCAGATGGAAATGGGTTGGGCTTGGTTCAAGCCCATTATGGGCTGCTCCAGTCCAAAACCCAACATGGTGCAATGCCCCGGGTATATGTAATAGTTGCTCTTAAAATAGAGACAAAATCAGCTGACATTCGGACTTGTATGACACATTTACAAGGTTTGAGCGAGCATGATAACTAGATCAAGCTCCGAAATGAATAAAAAACCTTGTATTATTGCAATACATCTTATTGTTGTTATACACGAGAGTTTATCTACTTGCAGTAACAAGAACTTTATTTTTTAACATGTTACAGATATCAAACCAGATACAAATACAAAAGCAAAAAAATAACAGGTGAAGTACTGGTACTCTAATGAGCATTTGCTTCCATTTGGATCCCCTCCAAGAATGCCTTGAGATTCCTATCCGATGACCCACCTTCTTTGGCAGCTTCTCTTGCCAATCCCTTCCACTTCTTGGAGTTCCTTCTAATTTCCTCTCCCTGCTCTCCATCTCCCACCACCAATTCCAAGCATCTAATGATCTCATCTCCTTCCACTATGCCTCTATCATTCGTGTTCACCCTCACCCCCACCTTCCATTCATTCTCAACGAGCATGGCATTGGTTTGCTGGTCACTCCATTGTGGGAATGCCACCATTGGGACCCCGCAAGCCAAGCTCTCAAAGGTTGAGTTCCAACCACTATGAGTCACAAAACACCCTACTGAAGCATGGGACAGCACCTCCACTTGAGAGCACCATGGCACTATCATCCCCTTTCGCTCCAATTCCTCCATACAGCTCCAATGATCTTCCTCTCCCTCTCCTTCCTCTTCTTTGTCCTTCCTAATCACCCACAAGAAAGGATGGCCGGTGCCTAGTAAACCGCGTGCCATCTCCTCCTTTTGTGCCTTCGATAGAACGGAGATGCTTCCGAATGATACATAAATCACCGAACCTTCGGGCTTAGTGTCTAGCCATTGGATGTAGTCTTTCGAACCCCGGAAGAGATCGCCTCCGAAGGATTTGTCCAAGGGATCTTGTCCGTCCAAGAATGCGGAAGGAATTAGCGGGCCGATCCCGAACATGGTAACATTGCCAATTGCTTTCAATGGCCTGGGCTCTAGCGCATCGAAAGTGTTCACAAGTACTTTTGGATTCTTCTCTTCCTTGAATACTTCCAACTGCACTTGCATAAGCGGCAGACTAAAAGCATATTGGTTTTCGGGTGTGAAAAATGACGGCACGTCTCGGCAAGTTAGTGGCGGCAATCCCGGTAAATGGAGCGATGACGAAGGATCGTCCTTGCCTAGGTTTCTGATAATATCACCATAACCATTGAAGTAATAGTAATATATATCAAGAAGAGTGGCAGGTTGAGTCCAAATGAGTGTTGAGGGGATTTGAAGAGAATGAGCCACCTGAGCAACCCAAGGAATGATCGTGGTGTATAATATGCACGCGAATTTGCGGCCTTTGTTAAGGCTAGTAACGACAAGGTCTCTTAGGGTTTCCGAACCTAGCCGCTCTACGTCGGCCATGTACTGTGCAAAGTCGATCCCAGGCCTGAGCCCCTCATCAGAGCCGTCGGAGAAGGAGGCGAAGGACAAACCTTCAGGTGGGTCGGACTTGGCCATGCGGTGGTAAGCCGACGCGGTGGTGGCGAAGGTGACGTGCGCGCCAGCGTGTAGAAGACGCTTGGCTAATTGGAGGGCCGGGTTGATGAGGCCTTGGGCTGGGAATGCTACTACAAGATAATGGAGGGGAGCCATGGCGTAGGGTTGATGCTCTTGACTTATTTTTTGCTCTCTCTCTCTTTCTTTTCGAGTTTCTGGTGCAAGAATAGAGCGTTTATTGTTCCTTTTATATACTTACTGGGATTTGAGGGGCTTGCGTAGTTGATGACGAATAAGAGAAGGCAGCTGTTGAATTTTATTATGAATATGCGTGTTCTAAGTAATGAAGTATTATTTGATTTCGAACTCCTTGTAACCACATAGATGTTGAGGTCGAGTTTCATTATTCTCAGGGTAAGAAGAAGCGAAAACAATGATAATCATATATACTTCTGCTTCTCATCTTGAATAAGTCAATCGGATAATATAAAATATGATAAATTATGGATTGGGCTATCTTTCTTTGATGTTTTTCATCATTAGAGATAAAAAAATATTTTTCTTTCGGGTTGCTGAATGAGTTTCCTATAACTACATGAGCTCTCTCTCTCTCTCTCTCTCTCTCTCTCTCTCTGATGTTTCATTGTTTAGTCAGACCGAAGTGTTTCACTGCATTTTGGCTTTCTTTGTCCCTGCAGAGTCGTGCATCGTGATACTATCATGGGGGGACTTCAGAACCTACCAGTCCCCTGCATACATATATACAGAACACAAGCCACAAGGGAGAGTTAATCATCAAAGTTCTGAATAGTCCACTAAATCAAGCAAAACATCCGAGATCCGGTCTTTCATTAACTAATCAAACACACCCCTACATTATACATTTGTATATGTACGTACGTATCTGACAAGAACATTATTTTATAAGGAGTCACCAATAATTGCTCTTAAGAAAACTAGAAGACGAATCGGGACCGAATCGAAAGCCGAATCCATATGCTTTGTTAAGCATGTGGTCGAGACAGAAATTCAGAGTTGAACTCCGGTGCAGAAGTTGATGTCGAGTGGGTTTCTGACACTGCGAGCTGCGATTTGGACTAAACAAGAAATTTCAAGTGACGCAAGAGCTGAGCAAAGTTGCTGAAAATGAAGAGAATGAGGATATACGTTTTCTATTTTTGGTCAGAAGAGGATATACGTTTGAATGGATGGTAAATATGACAAGTTGTACAGATTTTGGTTCAAGAAACCCTTTGGTTAGAGCATTCTAATCGTACTTGTAGGCCCTTGGATCATTGAAGGGATAATTGACATATTTATCGGTGGAAAATCTTGTAGTTTAAAGATGATACCATGTGAATCGCTAAAAATGTGTGATGTTGCGAATCCTCGTTACTAATGGAATGTAAATGATCTACCCCCCAATTGCACGATGACTCTTGTGTTCCTTTTATGACAATATTATTAAACCCTAATAGCCTTCAGTTAGATTGTACCAAAATACCTTGGTTATCTTTTATCTCTTCAACAAAATTAGGCGATTGGGTTGAAATGAAAAATAGGCGGAAATTAAGTTCTAAACCTTTCCTACGAATGTCAATTCAGTTTAAACTTTCAATTTTTCCATTTAGTCCTAAATCTTAACGCAAAATTCCAATGTAGCCCTTTCGGCTATTCTTTGCCGAAAATTGCTGACATTGCGGTGTGCCACGTAGGACGGCTAGCGATAATTGGACCACCATGTTAGCGATTTTCGGCAAAAATTGATCATAAGGACTACTTTATCTTTTCATGCAAAGTTTTAGGACTAAATAGATTTAGGATTGATCGAGTAATTTCCTTATGAAAAATAGTTCGTCACAAAAGTTACTGCTAGAGTTGAAAGATAGTTTGAAAGTAATATTTACCACAAGTATTATTGGACATCCGAATTCATAGGAAACTAACAGACAGAAGAAGGATAGGTACATCATGAAATTTACCAAGTTCATTGATCAGTCAACTTATCTATAATTGTATAGACCAAGAGTTCTGCTAGCCACAATTCACAAGAATCGAGAACTTACTATCGGATAGTCTAGTCGGATAATAGCACCATAGTCACAAATACATCTCGGAATTTATACAATCAATAAATTGACTATTTATGTATATTGGGATAATTTTGAATGAAGACATTGAAATTTTGAAGATGAACATGAGGAGGAGGAAGCAAAAGAAAGAGGGGGAAGTACCGTGACTATTGAGGAATGTAAGTTGACGATTGATTTGATCCACAAGATCAGGAGTTTTCTACACATCTTTTGTTCACTTTTAATTCTTTTTGGTTGGCTAGTAGCTTTTTCACTAATTTCTCCTCGTGAAAATGCTTACATCTTCCAAAATTATACAGAGCATTCACTTGTTTGATCTTTTTATTTTTTGGCACATGTTTTAGAATTAATTTGTTTAAGGGGTATGATCGTGCTATTAGCTCAATAATTACTTGCAAAACATAGCTAAGCTCTTATATGCAATATTAATTTTCTTTTTGTAGTTATTCTACAACCTTTCACCGGAATCTTAAGATTCCCGATCGGAAAAAATGAGGTTCAAGATCCAAAAATTTAACAACATTGCTTGCGTCCATCAAAGTGAGAGCTAGACATCGACTGAAGAATGATACCGTAGTTGAATCTTTCAAAATGACTTGCACATTCTAATTATACCTTACTCAAATCATTTTAAGCAGTAAGTACCAGCCTAGTGAAACATCGACATTCCGAGGTACAAAAAGAGTGATACAACATTACCAGCCAAAGATAAACGACAAAGAAAGGAGGACATTGGCTTGGACAGCATCAACTATTGCGAGGTGCCGATTGCTGGGACGGATCGGTGGCAACATCAAATCCAGGAGGTATGAAAACAACATCATCCCATGTTGAATTAGAATTTTCCTGCAATCACTTCCCATGTTATTTACTCCATCCATTTGAACAACCAAAAGAGGACCAGTAGCAACTGCTGGCATATGTAGAGAAAAAACTAACTTGATAATGATATTACACTCTTTTATCACGCAAAATCAAGAGAAATGAAAGTAGGGTCAGTTTTACTCACCTTCATTCCTTTTATAATTTCCTCAAGGACTGCAACCTACACGACCAAGTCCAGGAAAAGAGAATTGGTCAATCAGGAGGAACACCTCGTCATATGTCCAAAAATTAAAAGTTTGATGCAAATATCATACCTGAATGTCACCTTGTCTAAACACGGGATTTAACCGATTTTGTTCGCGAGAAGCTCTGAGTAATGAATTTTCCAGGTCCTCCTAGAGACGACACAGATGAGAAAAACTCGGAACTACAATGAATAGAACAATGCAGGTGCAAGCTACAATTTGTCTTGAAGAACTGACCTTTCTGAAGAATACTGGACGATAGCTTCGGCTTTGGCTCTTTAGTATCAAGCTTCTGGACTGCATCAACAATGATCAGTGAGTATAAAAGGCATCATACTTAAAATCCACAATAATGATTGAAGACAAATTCATATCAGCAATAGGAGAAAACAATCCCAGGGCCCGGAATAAAAATGACACCCACCCAATTCTCACTAATTCACAAGACAAATAACTAGTCGGACTCATGAAGAGAAAAGAAAACAATAGGAAGCTGTGGAGGAATCTGAGTTGTTAAATAGTGCGACGCTAATCTTTCAGACTATACTCAGTTTTTGAGCGATCCCTTCTTACACACCACATTTCCGACCAACCTATTACACGATTAATTTAGTTCATGTAATTGAGATCCTCATTTAAATAAATTTATATACAATACTTGAACCCTCATCCAACTAACGATCCAACTATTTGATTGTTGCATCAGGACCATGAGAGTTCGAACAAGATCATGATACAGACTTTGGCTAGGCTAAAAGGTATTAAGAAGAAAGCGAAATGAAGCATGCAATTATAAACTCAAAGATTCTAACTCAGATACGATTGTGGTATAGCTATTGCATGCTATTATTTTCAATCCTGTTAAGCAATTGCTTCACTAGCAACTGCTTCCTATAAGTAATCCTTGATTCTCACAGATCTGCCTTAATCAAATCCAGGAATGTGTTAGCTGGCAGCAGTTGCACACTTTTAGAACATTTTCTATTCCAATTGTTAAAATTGTCTCCAATGCCCTTTGCAATACTTCATCGACAGTCTTCTAAAGAGGTGCAACGGAGCTCTGCAGATGAAGAAAAGTTAGCAAGTACCTGGAAAACTGGAACCCCGAGGAAGGCCTCGTCAGACAAGCCCGCCATTTGCCTCACCTGCAAATGTTTAATTAACCCTTTCCAAGAAGAGACAATAACAGAGTTCAGCAAGTAATGTACCATGTATGCCAACTCTAACAAAACATCTGCTGTTGCACCAACCCCAGTAAATCTAATTTTACCTGTGAAACAGAATCCTTCTCTCTTGACCATTACTATGGTTTATTCTACAATTATCGACCAAATACGTTACTCTTTCAAGTGCTAGTAGATCTCTCCCCAGAAGAGACCTGTAAATTAGAGTAAATGGGCAAAGATGGCAATTAAAGCAGCCACGTCCTAATACTACGGCAACTACTGCAAGCCTCGACTCTGAACTGCCCTCCACATTTCCAAGACCCAGTGAGGCTCAAAAGTCAGTGTCATTGTCTTCTAAAAACGAAGGGTCCAACATCGTCGAAAACATGGTTACTTCAAAACCATCTATTCTATCCAGCAGAATCGCGATCGTCACTAATTTCCATTATGTTTATAAGAATGAAATCTGTTCGAGAATCAAAGATCCTTGAGTCACAAGTCAACAGAATGCTTAAGTAAACAAACTATTACAATTCCGAAGAACAAATTCAAATTCCAAACTCGCTGATCCAATGATTGAACTTCAAATCCGGATATATCCAGAAAAGTCGTCCATCACAGCCAAGAGATAAAGCCTGAGATGTGTCACCTCAAAACAGTAACTTCTCTCACCACAACATCAACCAAACTCAGCTCTATAAACAAGGAAAGCCCATCCCAACGCATCACATTTCAGCCATTACATTATCTGTGCAGGGACTCTACTTACTTTGATAGCGTTTTTAATCTGAGAAAGCTCCGGAATCAGCCTAAACGCAACGCCATCAACCTTAAGCTGAAACACCTGCAAAATCAAATCTTTCAATAAACCACCCCCCACTATCTTCTCAATAAACACGTAACCATTAGGTAAAGGCACATTGAAATCATAATCCAAGAAAGGGCAATGCAAAAGCTGCCACCTTGTTCAAAGCAACCGGCACGACTCGAGACCCGCTCCTCATCCCGGGGTCCATGCTCTTCATCTGCTCGAGGAGCGCCTCGGCATCCTCCTCCTTGAAACAGAACAACCCTAACGCCTTCCTCGTCGAAACGCCCGAGACCAGCACGAACTCCTCCGCGGAATTGCTCAGCGCGAACACCGGCACGCCCGCCAGCCGCTCCTGGATCTCCTCCACCGACAACGGCCCGCGCGACTTGGGACCGGCCGAAGGCAATCGGGCGCGGCCGACATCCGCCACCCGCGCGAAAACCGGGTTCTTCGCCCCGGCGGGGGATGCGGCGAGCTTGAAGTTCGAGATTCCGGCGTCGAGCGCGTGCCTCGCCTGGCTCTGGAGGTCGCAGAGCGAGGATTGGAGATTGGGCGGGAGGGAGCCGGGGAGGCGAGAGAGGTTGCGGAAGAGGGAGGAGCAGCGGCCGTGGACGGCGGCGAAGGCCTGCCGGAGGTTGAATTCGTTGAGGGGTCGTGCGATTGGAGAGGAGGGCATAGGATTGGCGGAGGCGGAGCTCATGTCCATGGGTGCTTCTGCGCGAAGCAGCGTTTTCGCGGGAAGCAGACGAGGTGTTTTCCGGAGGTTCGAAGGGTTTGAAGAAGAAGACGAAGATGCGAGGACGGAGAGACGGAGGGTTTTGGGTTTTTGTCGGGGCAAAAAGTTAATTACGCGAAATTATACTTTTAGGCCTCTAACTATATCGAATACGCAATTGAGTCCATGAAATTTAGAGGTTTTTTTCAGTTGAGATCTCTTTTTTTTTTTTTGGACGTAAGAGAGGCTTATCATTTCATTTAACAAAGAGCCTTCTAAAATAAGGAGTATCAAAACACAGGATCTCCCATAAAAGAGGTAATGGATAAGAAAGGCCTTCTAAAATAAGGAAGGGCCTTACATATGGAGGTCTCGACAACCAATCTACTAGCTTATTTGAATCTCAAGAGCAGTAGACCAGCTCAAGACTCTCAAAAGGGCCAAGAAGCCTAAACATTCTATGATAAGTGGCTTAACGTTCTAGCACAAATTTCTATCTAGATCGGCCAACAAAGTGATGAAGAGCATGGAGATAAGCAACGGTTTCGGAGTGAAGGGTGGAAGACACTTGGATTGGTTGCGCAGCTCCTTCTATCAATCTCCCTTCAAAATCGCGGCACACGAAAGCAAAAGCCACCCCCCCCCCCCCCTTTTTTAACCCCAGGAGATGCAATCCATCGATGTTAATCTTCAGCGTTCCTAGTTGTGGTGGTCTCCACCTTGGAGGTAAATGCTCTGATGCACAATCTACCTCATTGTTACTCCTGTTCCACTTCGCATAACTGTAGTGCATGGCAAAAGCTGAGTCTACTATGCTTCTGGGACTAGGATTTTGGTGTTGGAAAGGAATTACGCACTAGCCAAATATTTCAGAGAGTGGTTGCGATTATCTCAAAGCGTAGTTTCTTTTGGGTCAGATTTACATAGCTTAGCAACCAATTCTTGATTCTGGTCACTTGTTGGTGAGAGAACTGGAAATTGAATTATGAACTAGACCAAACCTGTTTCCTCTCACATAAGAGGAATAGATGTTCCACCGTTTTGGGTTCCTTACAGCACATGCCATTATAGCACATAGGGCAGAGAGGCTCAAGTAAAAGCTTCCTTTTATACAAGCTAACCCTGGTTCGTCGAGCATTTTGGCAGACACTTCAAATGAATAATTTGACTTTGGCAAGTGTTTTTAGCTTCCAAATTTTGCTCCACAGAGAATTGGGAGTTTGGAAGGAGGATGAAGCCTGCTCGTTGTCTTATGTGGTTTCAATCTTTTAAAGTTGATTCTAACCACTTTTAATAGATTAGCACCCAAACTGATTTGCTGACTAAACTAGCTTGTCCTCTATCGAGATTATTGGTATTGGAGTTGTTAGAATTTCATTAACAACTTGCTCATAAAAAATGGTTCCCCAATAGTTGCTCCTTCCATTGTTGTTCTGCTTCCATTGTTGTTGTTCTACTGAGTCAATCAATTCAGCAACCATTTGGGATCTTGTTGGTTTTCTAACCATATATCCTCTCTGATTCTGATTCGCTAGCTATTATCCACTTTCCATCTCATCTCCTTTGAAATGGGTTCTCTATTCATTAGTAGGCTTTGCCAACCCCATAAAGGGTGAGAGCCCTTGGAAGCATATCATAGTTTGGGAAGTACCTTCCTTTTAGTATTTTGTACCATAAAGCATTCGAAGCTTGCATGACTTTCTAGGCTTGTTTTCTCAACATTGCTTTGTTGAAAGTAAGGATATCTATAAATCCCCAACCACCTTTGTCTTTCCTTTTCTTTGGCATTTTCCATTTTTCCATTGAAAGCCAGCTTTGGAGGCATGTGTTTTCCACTAGAATGAAGCTATCTTTCTTTTTATGACTTTGCAAATAGATACTGGAATTTAAATATAGACATTGCATATTGTGGTAAAGTCTGTGCTATTGCTTTGATTAATATTTCTTTTCTAGCTTTGCAGATAAAATTCTCTTTCAAGCCTTTCGACTCTATGTTTATTTTTACCAATATCCATGCGAACATTTGTTTTTTTTTTTTTTTTTTGTTTAGCCCCAATCTGATGAGATGCCCAAATACTTTCCAATTTTGCCAATCTCAGTATGCACATCTCTTGGGTCATGTTCCTTCTCAGCTGAAATGGGCATCCGACACTAAAAAAGATACCCGATTTGTTTAGGTTGATTTCTTGACTCAATGCGAGCAATATTGATGAAGGATAGATGCTAGGTTTTGGCACTCCCTGACCTTTCCAATCTAAGAAGAAGATAGAATCGTCTACGAACAGTAAATGAAATAGTGTGAGGTAATACCTGTTAAATCTTAGTCCTTTTTCTCACCAAAAAAAAATCCGATTCCTTTGAAACTCACGTCATCTTCTGCTTTTTTCACAATAATGACTGCATATGGGAACAAAGGGTCTCTCTGGCGTTGACCTCTTGAGGGGTTCTCCATGAAAATTAATGCTAAGAGAGGCGGTGGAGACACATTGCATAATCCAAGAAACCCATCTTGTGCTGATACCAAGCCCATTTTATGGTTAACACTCTTGATCGCCAATTCCAAAAAAATATTTCAAATCCATATTTGAAGATTTAAAGATCACCTCTTGTCATTATTAGAAATGAGAATACAATATGTTTTCTCGATCTGTAAAATTATTCTAAACAATTATGTATTGCGTTTATTTAGATTAGGAATTTGATGATACCGTTATTTATGTGAATTCGTATTTTAGGTATGCTGTACTTCTTTACTTGGGGTTACTCAAAAAGGTCCTAGGTTCTCAGCTCCCTAGGTCGTTTATTACAATACACAATTGAGAGGATAATAAATCTCAAGTGCCGTAACTTTTTTACGACGTTCACTTGAGTATAATAACTTTTTTTTATCACTTAGTGTGCATTTGTTTCGCGAATAATGAATTCCTAAAAGTGATTGATTATATTGCTCACAAAAATGAATCTTTGAAAAGTATTTTCATTGTCCACGAAAATATTTAGACATAAATTATTGTCAATAATGAAAATATTTTTCATTAATTAATTATTTAGAAAAATATTTTCCAATTCATTCACTTTATGCGAAACAAACGGAGCCTTAATGCAATAACTTCTAAAAAACGTTCATTTGAGTGCCATAACTTTCGATCAATCACTTAAGTGCCAAAAATTTTAAAAACTTTCACCCAAGTGCCGAAAATTCAACGTGGCATAGCACTTGTGGTGAACTTTTTTAAAAAATTATGAACTCAAGTGATCGATTGAAAAGTTATATGGCGCTTAAGTGATCGGAAAAAGGTTATGGCATTCAAGTGAGCGCTATACGAAAGTTATGGTACCTGCAGTGTCATTTTCCTCAAAATTGAGTTAGTGAATAAAGTTAAAATCTTGGGAGTCATCTCTTGTTATCTTTCTCTTTGTTTTCCCTCGGTCTCTTTTGATGGATTCACTATGCTCATGAGTGATCGAAAGTTTTGTAACCTCAGGATGGCTTACCAAGGTGTGATCACTAAGGGAAATTTAGATCATATAGTTTCTTTCTTCCTATTCTCGGTAGTGAGATTATCAACATCGCCAAGATTGAAAATTCGTTCAAGACATTTTTGTCACGCCGCACCTTTTGGGGCACGCTAAGGAGGTATTTCCATTTGTCGCGAATGGGAAAACTGTCCCCGAACGGGCTACTAAGGTCCGATGTAAATATTTCGTCCAGACGTCCCACAAACATCCCATCACTAGACAAACGGGAGGCCTCTCTCAAATCATACCTCACGTGATAGCGGGTTGTGATTTTCTTATTATTCTATTCAATCTAGGTTTTTGATTTGGAGTCGCCACTAGTCATTATTGGTAGGTTGACTGGAAACCTAATCGAGGTACGGGAGAAATACCACGATTCTGCGAACCATAGATTCTGAATACGGGGATTTGATTACACTAATGATTCCGAATCGAGATCCCTAACCTCTTTCGGTACCTAAAACGATATGATGTGTCTAACATGCCACACGAGTTTCCAAGGTCTATCTACTAACACTAACCATTCTAAACGTGAGAACTCAATTAATCAATATAAGCAACGCAATCAATTGCAATCAAACAAAATAATCCTAATTTGGGTCTCTAAAATGACAATCAATTCAAAACTCCAAAACCCTAGTAAAGCCCTAAAGGCTTATTCATTCAGTCATGTGTGTTGTTTTGGGATTTTAGGATTTTTTAGGGGTAAAAACCCCTAAACTAAGGATTTTCTAGAAATTATAATTTCACTTGCAAAGGTTAGCCACAATGTTTTTAGGTCATTCTGTGAATTTTTGAAACTTTTGATTTTTTTTTTGAAGTCAGGTTTTTTATTTTCTGAAAATTTTTCTGAAATTTTTATCGGATTTTGGGTTTTTTTTTTCAAATTTTTAAGAATTTTCTAAATTTTTCTCATTTTTATGAATTTTCTAAGAATTTTTTAGATTTTTATGGATTTTCTAAAATTTTTGATTTTTTAAGATTTTCTGGACTTTTATGATTTTTTTTATGATTTTTTCTGGATTTTTTACATTTTTGTCGATTTTCTGAAATTTTTTTAATTTTTATGAATTTTTATAGAAATTTTTAAATTTTTTAGAATTTTTTTTGGAATTTTTGTCTGCATTTTTTATTGATTTTTTTTATTTTATATATTTTAAAACTTTTCCCGCCGAGAAAGCGAACCATACCGGCCCAGTTAAGGTCGGTTCGGCCGAACCGAACCGAGCATCGCCAGTATCGGCTGACTCTCTAAAGAGAAAAAATGCAAAACGACGCAGTTTTGCATTTTTTCTCTTCAGCATTTCGCTGAGCACCTAGTGTGCATGATTCTGAATTTATTGTTATCAAGACTGTCAGTTCAAGCTCACTGTCGACGACCTTCCCGGTGAGATTTTAACCATTTCAGTTGGTTTAATGAAGAGTTCGTATCACCTGTTATCAGTCTAACCTAACTAGTTCGTCGCCGAACCACCGCCGGCCGATGAAAAACCGATAAAAAAAACCTAACTTGCAAACTATCCTAAACAATCCATTTAAGCTCACAAATTCTCATACAGATCGCCCTAGCCGTC